GGAGTACATCGTGACAGAAGGAAGGTTGGAGCGGAGGAGAGGCAGAGGTAGACCCAGAGAACTGATGCTGGACAGATTGGCATCATGACATGGGAATCATATATGTCAGAGTTGATTGAAAGTTTACGAGACAGGAGGTTGGGGATAGACGTGACTACCAACGCCGTGCAGCAAGGTCTTCAAGAAATACCTATCACGTAAAGAGAGATGTTCGGACAACCACCGGTATTACCGTTATAAAACAGGGAATGACGCTTTAATGGGCACTCCTTAGGAAGAAACATGCACAAAATCCCCAAAAAGACACTGAAATAGGAAACAAGTGGATTAAGGAAAGAGGTGGTCCAAAAATAACCTTAAAACGAATGTTGGTGAAAGAGGTCATATGTTCTTATATGAAAGGTGTGAGTTTAAAAAAAAAATTGTCAGAGAGACCTGCGTATCCATTTCTTAACTCGCTGAACATAAAGTTTGTTTGCTCTTACTTTTCACAATAAATATAAGCATGGATACGTTATCATTATTTTGTTTTTAATCAACAGATAATTAATAAGGGAAATTAACAGACAAGATGCTTAGCAAAGCAGGCCAATGGAAAGTAAAATAAGAAGCACATGGTTTTTCAGATCTTTGTAAAGAAATAACAGATGATGACTGAAAATGCATTATATATATATATATATATATATATATATATATATATATATATATATATATATATATATATATATATATATATATATATATATAAATTGATAAGACCAGTCGTTTCATATGGCTCTGAAACTTCGAGCACAACTAAAAGAGATAAAGCCTTATTACGGGTTTTTGAAAACAGAGTCTTACGACGAATCTTTGGACCTATCAAGGGAAATGGAGAGTGAGAAGCAACAACTAAATTCATAACCTGTTTAAATCACCATTGATCACTGGCATCATGAGAGCTAATTGACTGAAGTGGTTGGGGCATATTTAGAGAATGTCAGATGACAAAGAAGTAAAAACTGTATACACAAAGGAGATGAATGGTCCTAGAACACAAGGCAGACCAAGAAGACGATGGAGAGATAATGTCCAGACAGACCTACAAACACTTGGTGTCACCAACTTGGAAAGAGAAAACCAACCAGAGAGATGAATGGAGGCGGGTGCTATCTGCAGCAATGAACCTCAAGGGTTCGGAATGCTGAAAAATAATATATATATATATTAGTGGACAGAGGATCTATTCTCCCCCACCCCCCCCCCCCCCCCCACACAATAAGACATAGAAAATCACATAAGAATGAGACTGAAAAGAGAGTTGGTAAATTAAATTTACAACAAAAAAAAAATTGGCGTGGGGGGGGGGGGGGGGGGGGGGGGGGCTACATTAAGAGACAACATCTTTTATTTAAAATACAATACGAAATTAAAAAAAAATTATAAAAACATACTGGAGAAGAAAGTATGAAAGTTGAACGCTAACGTGCAAGAGATGGATAGAAGTGAGAGTATAACATCAAGTCTCAGGAAGTGCACAACCAGTATGAAAGACGGCGCCTTTTGGAAACCCACTGTAGTTAACTTTTATTGCCAAGAGGGCACATGAGTGATTGATAAGCAGCAATTAATACATGTAAACTGTACTCTAGCTATGTTAGCCTGTAAATGATGGAAAGTACACACAGCTTTGTTATTTGTCATGTTTAAAATATAGAACACCACTTGTACTTATTCAAGGGTGCGCAGAGGTAGGCTGGCTTCTATCATCATCATCATCATCATCATCATCATCACATTATCGTTATCAGCGATGATGTAGCTTCTCTTCTTCATCTTCTATCTTTTTCTTCTCTTCTATTCCTTCTCATTTTTCCGCTTCTTCTTCTTCTTCTTCTTCTTCTTCTTCTTCTTCTTCTTCTTCTTCTTCTTCTTCTTCTTCTTCTTCTTCTTCTTTAGGGAGGAGGATTCTCTTCTTCTTCTTCCTTCAGTTCTTTCTTCTTCTCTTTCTTCTTCTTCTTCTTCTTCTTCTTCTTCTTCTCTTCTTCTTCTTCTTCTTCTCTCTTCTTCTTCTTCTTCTTCTTCTCTTCTTCTTCTTCTCTTCTTCTTCTCTTCTTCTTCTTCTTCTTCTTCTTCTTCTTCTTCTCTCTCTTCTTCTTTCTTTCTTCTTCTTCTTCTTTCTTCTTCTTCTTTCTCTTCTTCTTCTTCTTCTTCTCTTTCTTCTTCTTCTTCTTCTTCTTCTTCTTCTTCTTCTTCCTTCTTCTTGCTTCTTCTTCTTCTTCTTCTTCTTCTTCTTCTTCTGTCTTCGTCTTCTTCTTACTTCTTCTTTCTCTTCTTCTTCTTCTTCTTCTTCTTCTTCTTCTTCTTCTTCTTCTCTTCTTCTCTTCTTCTTCTTCTTCTTCTTCTTCTTCTTCTTCTTCTTTCTTCTTCTTCTCTTCTTCTTTTTCTTCTTCTTCTTCTTCTTCTTCTCTTCTTTCTTTCGCTTCCTTCAGTTACTTTCATTAAACTGTCGCAGAGAGGGTGGCGAGAGATGTACCCTCGTTTGTGTGGCCTTTCCACCGGGTTGTATAAGTTGGTCTTCATTTCTTTAAGACTGATACTCTTGATACTGTCATTCCATATTCTGTGTGGTCTTCCCCTCGATCTGTATCCATTTTATTGTCCAACATGACTCTCTATGGCAGTTGGCACCAAAGCATTCTCGCTAGATAACCAAAACATCTCATCTGTTGCTCTTTAATAAACAGTATAACTGATGTCAAGCCTAGCCTTCTTATAATATAATTTCACCATTTTTAATTTCATCTTTTCTGTTTACTTCGACAACTCTTCTAATACATCTCATCTCTGTTGTTGTTATGATTTTACGCTAATTTATGATCGTACCTAAGGGTCCATGTTTGACACTGCTCGCAAAAAATTGGCCAAAATTAGTTCTTAGAAGATTTTCTTTAGCAGACGAAAGTGTACATTTACGTGTCAAAGTGCTGTACATTTTTTAAGGACCTGGTTTACTTTAGCACATTATATTTCGATAAACACTCAACGCATAGCTACTGAAAGGGACATAAATACTCACAATTTTGACATTCTGCATCTTTTTAATGCCATCAGTGAAATTACTCAAATTATGGCGTGTGGCCTCCTCTCCGGGGATCAGTGACTGGCATCTCCTGTGCATGGATGTCTAATGTAGGCCTGTGGTTCACTCTTCCTGGAGTGCCTGACACAAATCAGAACTGTTGCCTGGAGCAACCTCTCGGCGTCAAACACATCTTTGCAGCTCATCCCACAAGTGCTCAGTCGGACTCATGTCTGCAGACAGGGATTGCCAGGGAAGCGTTTGCACGTTATTGGCAGCCAAGAACTGCGTGGTCAACCGTGCAGAAAGGGGTCTGGCTTTCTTCAGTGTGCACCAATTGACTCCTTCCGTTGTAACGATAATTCTCCACACCATTACACCTCCACCACCGTGCAGCAGAGCTTTATCAACACAATTTTGGGCTAAACCTTTATTTCACCTGCGGTAGACTCTACCCTGTCTATCATGATGCTGCAACAAAACGAAAGATTCATCACTGAACGAAACACGTCTCCACTGGTTGTTACCTGCCCATCGACAATGTTGGTCAGCCCAAAGAAGTTGATTTTAAAGAACGTTTAAGGAAAGGTCTTTGGTGTGGTCGTCGTGCCCAAAGGCCAACGTCATGCAGTATGTTCCGAACAGTTTGATCAGACTCATCACTTTCTGGAGGTAATGCCTGCGCTGTTGAGGAAGCTGTTGTAAACCTGTCTCCGAGGGGGCGAAACCGAAAGAAGCGATTATCCGCTGCTGTTGTCACCCTGGGTCGTCCACTGCGATGTCGGTCTTGGAACCGGTACCAAAGTCAGCTGATGGTACTCTGATGCCCGTTTAGATGCCTGATTGAACTTTCTCCTGCCTCCAATAGGTCAACAGCAAAATTCTTAAAATTTAAATATGATAGATGCACCATTCGTGGCTGCTCGAAAATGAACTTAATGTTTTGGTGTAGCGTTATCCTTGTGTAGGGTTTCAACTGCGTAAGCAGCGAGTAGTGTTTACCCCAAATTGTTTTGTTTTCTCGTACTATGCTCACAAATATGATCTTAAACACAACTGACCATTGTGTTGTAACGGTTACAAAAACCTGCACAATTCACGCCCACTGTATCCACTGGATACAGTAAAGAAAATCTGAGTCTGCTTTTCACATACCAGAATACGATATTTTATTTACAAAGTAATACAAACGCCCCATCCCTTTTTTAAACAGTATTTGTATCGATTTATCCTTCTGTTAATTAACCCTGTATATTTAAATTCACTTTTGTATGTATGTATGTATGTATGTACGTTGTACCCCACCAGGACATCACACAAGCGATAAACACCCGGTGACACAAAGTACTACCATGCAGATGAGGATCACCCATGGAGAGATCCCTGAAACCCAGGTCAGCCGTTTGGCCATATTTCAGGCCCAACTATATTTAGGGCCCCCGGCAAAAGCCAGGATAGGGCTTTAGAATAGCTAAAAATTGCATCCCACAAGGGGATGACGAGATGTCTTAAGTTGGTTCAATTCACTTTTATCTCTGTACGATTAACATTTATTGATACGGTGTCTGAAGACTGCATTACCTTTCCAAAATATCTGGGGAGCCTGGCTAACTAATCCGAGGACTTATTAGCTATTGTGTATTTTACTAAGCAATTTTACGTTGAGCAGTTTGGTATTACTTTCTAAACAGTACTAAGTGTATATCCTTGTTAAATCGAAACAAATGTCCGCTACCAAACTGCTTTCAGCCGACTTTAAACTCCACGTACGTTGGGATTTTAAAAAAGCGTTTACAAAAAGAAATGTCGTGTCCTTTTTGGCCCTCCCGAGAGCCATGCTAAACTGACTAAACATAAAAAAAGGAAACAAAATGTACACACACACACTCACATACACACACTCTCTCACACACACACTCACACACACGACACTTACTAAAATCCATATTTGCAATCTTCATAAGATTGATCCCTCTGGCTCCACGCCTCTCATCTTGCTTGCTGTCCTTGACCACGGTGTCATCATCATCATCGTCAGACTTTGTCCTGTCCTTGAACTTTTCTGAGAACAAACCTTTCTTTCCAGGAATGTCAGAGGAGTCTATTCTTGTGATCACGGCTTCGAATCTTCGCAAACCTTTTCCTGAGAAAAGCGCACTGATGTGAGATAGTATTTCAGTCTGCATGTTGTGTTTGGCGCTGACAGAGGAATGCTTCGATGTCTAGTAGCTTAGTTTGCCAGCTACGATACAATTTTAGAACAGTTCATTGTGGTGTCAAGGACGCATCTGTGATACCTTTGGAGCAGACTCTGTAAAATACGAAGCTATGAGTAAATAACAAGCACCTTCACTATCAATGAGTAGCCGGTTTCCTAAAGGTTTATTATCAAAGTCTTGAGTAAAACTTGACGATACGTTTTGAGTTTATTGTAAAAAGTGTTTGGTTTCTGTTTAGATTGGTAACATACATACAATTTGCAGATGTACAGATAATTGTTTATTAAGCTCCTCAATATAATTTGCTGATCTATTTATAGTGTTTACCAAACAATTTAGTGCTAGAGGAAGGCCAAGAAGAAAATGGGTAGATAGAATTAACAACTTGCTGAAACCCAACAATATCACCGCGCCTGCGACGCCTAACAGCATTAAGCAGAAAAAAGACAATAGATGGACAGACTGCAATTAGTTACCAATTTTTCAGCATATATTGCTGGTTTAGAACTGATTATCGCATATTTTAAAATCATTTAGAACTGATTTTATAAAGTTGTTGGAGTAAACCGATGAGACTAATATACCAGAATCATTTGTATAACACTGATACACATTTAGCAATATCTATATGAATAAATTTATCGATACTCTTAGAATACATTGAATAAGTTTAAGGTACAAATCACTGACAAACATAGTAAATTTCCCAATTACATTATCATCATCATCTGTTTCCATTTCCTCCGCAATGCGTTGTTAGGAGGAGCAGTTTGCTATCTATTGTTTGATAGGCAAAAATGGCCATGGTCATTCCGTGTCGATCTAGAAGCTCTTTAATGTTATCTATCTGCATTAGTAGTTGTTCTGGCTGCATTCTTACCAAATGAACAAACCATCTGATCTTGTCTTTCTCATTGAATTTGCTGCATGGTTTGTTCCTACAGTCTGTCTGATCATATCATGTCTAACTTTGTCTCTGATGGTTAAGCAGGCGGCTTTTCTCAGGCTGCTCATTTTACATGTGTTAAATTTACGTAGGTTACCCTTTGATAATCATCAGTATCAATCGATAAGAAACTAGTCGCTTTCGAGAATAGATGCCTCAGAAAGCTATTGAATGTTCACTGGTCGGACGTTAGGTCCAATACATCTATAAGACAGGAAACAAAACAAAAATATGTGTCTGATTTTATTAGAAAGCGTCGCTGGAATTACATCGGTCACGTACTCAGAATGGACATACAGAGACTTCCCCACCAAGCCTTCATATGGTCACCAGAGGGTAAAAGAAAACAGGGAAGACCAAAAGAAACTCTCCGTAGAACCATCACAAGGGAGAGCTCAACCATAGGTCTCAGTCGCACTCAAGACCTACATCAAGTGGCAACGAACCGACAGACGTGGAAAGCTATGACCTCTGCCCTATGCGCCATCTTTGGCACAAGAGGAATAACTAACTAACCCTTTGATAATGTCAATGACCGACATTGGTAGCAAAGTGTTGGTATGCTGCTTATAATCTGTTTCTTGGTAGACATACTTATTTTTGGATGTCTTAATAACAGTGTCAGTTGGTATATAAGTGCACTGGCTCGTTTTCTTATGGTTTCTATTCCCCATCTATTCTCCCGTCCTACAAGAATATCATCATCATCATGTAGCAGGTTCTTTGCAGAACGTCGCTCTCGTCACAGTTTGCCTGAAAGAAACTCGGTCTCTCGCCAGTTCTCCCGCTTTATGCACTTTCACACTCAAGGAGTCACTTATATCCTGTGCCCATTTTGTGTCGGTCGGCTCCTGCCCCTCCTTCCTGGTACCATGCCTTCTGCTATATTTTTTTTTCCAATCCGTCGTGGCGCTTGATATGACCAAAATATTTCAGCTTTTAAGACAGGATGCTGTTTATTAGCCAATCCTCCTTGATGTTCAGATCTTTCAAGATGTCAGTATTTCTCCTCTTCTTTGTCCTTCTATGACTGTCTACCTATCGTAACTTCATCCATAGACCAGCTGCTATCCAAATCACTGAGGTATTGAGAGTAAATTGGAGTTCAGGCGTATGGTAGTTTCCCAGTGTTAAATTCACTTGCCTTCGGCGCGGTGGTCATGTGTTCCAATCTACATCGAGGCGTATTTTCAAATTTAACTGAGCCAAACAAATGTAAAGTACAAATTGTAAGGGCCTTTTTAAGCCAATAGCGCACTGGGCATGTGGTGCTAAACGTGTATTTTATAGACTAATTGGCACTCAGTGATGAGAACATCACGGAGAGATAAAATGTAATTTGAAGATGTCTTAACACAGATTAACTAACGAAGATAAGTAATTATCCATCATCATTATTATCATCATTATCATCATAAACCACTTCTTCCGTTAAGCGGCTTGGGGAGGAATAATTTGCGACACAGTGCACGTTGGGTGCCACTAGCTATTGTCATGCCGTGAAGACGTAGTGTCTTTAATGTTTCTATCCATTATATCCGCGGCCGTCCTCTTGCTCCTGTAGCTGATCTTCTGAGATGTAGTGCTTGAGATGGTATGTGATCTTGCGGCATTCTAACGAGATGACCAAACCACTTGATCTGCGTTTTCTCGATGAATCTAGTACATGGTGTTATTCCTACGGTGTGTCTGATAGTCTGATGTTTAGACTACATAGAACATCAAAGAATGAAATGGTTTGGACATCTAACCAGGATGAAAAATGATCAAATAACATCACAAATTTTCAACCAAAGAAGCTCAGGATATAAGGCAAGAGGAAGACCAAGGAAACGGTGGATTGACGGGGTCTCCGAAACCTGCCAAAAGCATGGCCTCAGAACATCAGATGCTGCCCGCCTTGCTTATGACATGAACTTGCATCTCCCCACAACGCTTAGCGGCATACGTGGAAGGAAAAAGTAAAAGTAAAAGTAAGTGTCTGATAGTTTCATTTTTAACGCGATCTCAGATGGTTAGGTTGGCTGCTTTTCTCAGGTACCTCATCTCGCAGGTGGTGATTTTGCGTATACGGGCTTTAGATAGTGTCCATGTTTGGCACTGGTAGCCTGATGTTGGAATGCGTCTGCTGTTAATAATCTGTCTCTTTGCACTCATAGTAATTACCCATTACCTACATTCTTTTATCATATCGTGAGGAAAAAGAAAAGTGGTTTACATGGTGACAACGGGAAAGTTGAAGGGCAAGAGAGAGCAAAGGGAGACCAAGAAAGAAAATACTGGACAGGGTCAATATCCCACCGCTTTTACTTCCCCAGAAATGACCTGGAACTCATCAGAGGCGGTGTCGACCTGTGAAGAATTTGCTGTGCACTTGAGCTGAAGACTCACGGGTCCTCAGACAGAGCATCTAGCAACTACGCCAAGAAAGTTTTTCTCTATAAGGAGCCCAAAAAAAGTTATGGGAAGTAAACGCGACGAATTAATGAGACCACTGCTTCATTTAGATTACTCTAGAAAAAATATAGTACTGCACTGATTTGTATCATAAACATGATCAGTTTCGTCTCAGTCTTTAGTTGCAGATATTTTAGAGACACCTGTAAGTTATCGCTGGAGCTACGGAGTTCATGCCTTACGTGGCAAACCACTCCATATATAGATAAGAGAGAGACTGAGATATCTAAGATAAACTCCAATATAGTGATTCATTAAACACCTTTAATTAAAATATCTGTGAAGTAGATTTTGAAAGCCACGAATTAAACTAAAAATTTATTTAAGATAATCCTTTGAACATTATAATGAAATAATAACACAGAAAAGTTAACCAACTGTAAATTAACTGATCAGGTTTAGTAAGAACATCAGATCTTTCCTGTACATGCAGTATGACACTTTTTTTAATTGGACGCTTATTTAATTATTTATCAATAACCCAATAATACAATTACAGTCAGGTTTAATTTGACTCGACTTTATCTTTAACGAGTTTCACTTTTCAATGTTCTAAATGTAGGATTTGACTACGTTTGTAATGTCTAAAATGTGTTTACCTAAAACTGATGTCGATAAATTATCACATTACGGCGTATAGAGCTGATGACATTTGTTCCGACAAGTTATTGTTTCCCTTTAAACTCACCAGAACTGAAAGTGGCAAATGTGAAGTCACGCTGAGAAAATTGTCCACCACAACACATCAGCGAATCTGTCTAGCCCCAGGGAGTGGATGGGCCCATATTTAGGTTAAAGGATGACAGCGTATTAGGTAGGTTTATTTTATTGCTGTTTTTCTTTTGAAATCTTAGAAATTATTACCGTTACTTTTTCTTCTGAAATGGTTCGACTGGTTTTTTTTTTAAGTGGTTAAATTCTCGTCCTCCCCTTGTGGGATACACTTTTTAGTTATTATGAAGCCCTAACTTGGCTTTTGCCGGTGGCACTAAATATGGTCTAACTGCTGAACAGGACTTCGGAGACCTCTCCACGGGGTTCCTCATCCGCATGGTAGCACTTTGTATCACAGGGTGTTTATCGCTTGTGTGATGTACTAGTGGGTTACAGCTTACATATTTACATACTACGTCATCTCAACGTTGAACTGCAGGTTACTTGTAACCTCTGGAGTGCCTAAATATGACTGTTTTCGATTCTTATCCTTGAGATTGTAGGTGCTTTGCTGGAGAAAAAAATCGTCACGTCCAGCCAGCATCCCTGAAGGGGGAGGCTTCAGGTTATAATTGCGACTAGGTTATGTGCGCCACATAAAATAGCTTATCATTGCACGCCATTAGGAGCCCTGAAAAGGACGCCTGCAGTGTTAATGCGATCAAAGGAGACAGACTCAAATACTGTCTCTACCGTCGACGAAGTCGTCTACCGGCTAGTGATCCTTGAGATCACTCTCCCGGCACATGATTGCATGTTACACCTGGCTATTGGGTGCCATAATTATAAGGTATTCGGAGGTTGAATCTGGCATGTGCCATGATGATCTACCATCTGTATTGTGATTTTG